GCAAAATCACCTTAATGATGTTCATGGATTTCAGATGAAGCACAAGCTGATCAATCGGCTTTGTCAATATCTCCGGAGGGGTAAATTTTTCAAAATCAGAATAAACTGCCGAGGAGTACAACCTGTAATGTGTGTATACGATGAGAAATCTTTTCGAAAAGTCAGGGATCCATGTTTCCATCAAGAAAACAATATGGCAATTCCACCCCTACATAAATATGCGTACTTAGACTCAACTTCAAAACTATGGAAGCCAGGAAGTAAGGATTTTAGGAAAATCGTAATTTCTGCCCAATTTAGAGTTTAAAAAGTAGAAAGCAACTTCCAGCTCTATGTTTTGACTTATAAATTTAGGTTTAGAATTAGAGCTAGTTATGATTATTCGGAGCAAAACAAAAAAAAATTAAATTTCGTCGGCTTAAAACCACCACAAATGTACCAAAAGGCAGCTACAGTGAAAACGCTTCTTCCTGGTCCCTTCCCCATCCTTCCCCCTCTCCCCCCTCCCCCCCTTTCCGGCCCCTCATCCTCCACCATACATCCCGAAAAGCTGATCGCAAAAACATCTAATCGCCCAACAATGTTATTTTCTCCTTGTGCCCATTTTCACAAAAGCATAAAACTTCGCATCCGACAAAGTTTCACCTGTAAACATCGCCAGCTTGAACACGACCGGCACGGCCAGCTCGTTGATCAGCTGATGCTTGGGAGATCCAGCTGACACGGAATTGTGAAACGCCTGTTATCGGGTCGTAGAATCGGCGTTTTTCCCGTCCGCTATCAACAACATATCGTACTGCTGGTATTGTAAGCGATGTTTCAGCCACATTTGTTGCTATTACGCACATTCTAAAAATTGTGCATATAAGCAAAGCTTATTAGTAGAGCACGGGAAGATAGGTTTTACATATGGGCCGTTGTTCCTGGCCCTGGTTACTATCCTCTTCCTTTCCCCCCAGGGCCTTTGAGGCCCGTACTGCCTTTTACTTTACAAAATTCCAAGATAACAACTTTACTTGTCTAATCCATAAATCTGGCGAAATTAGAGACTCCAAAGATTCCAGTTGTAAGATCCAAATCTAACAGTGAAAAATCCAACCCCTCCAAAAATTATCAAGTTTTTCTACAGTTTTCAACTCCCTTATTTCAAAGAAAGAAACCACCTTCAGTTTGCACCTTAAAAAAAGGTTGAACAAGGAAACGATTAGCAACTTCGTCGATGAGAGGTTACTTTTCGCAAAGTGTTATCAATCTAAGCTTTTTTGAACGCCTGGAAGAGGGGAATTTGACCTCAACTTGTTTGAATGCGTTACTCGATATTCGGTCACTTTAATTTCTGTCTCGCAGTACATAAACCCCAACTTTCATATCGATAAGCTAACGCCAACATTATTTAATAGCCTCAAAACGGCTAGAACTGACCGATGGCCATCCGGAGCTGGCTCAAAGATTCGCTGTTGTTTTTTGCTAGATAATAACG